TGTACAAAATTTTCTTTATAAGTATTATTATTTCTGACATGCGCCAGCTAATCACAAGATTCATACCCTGATAGCGAATATTGAACAAGCTTATTATTATTGGCCAAATATCGCCATTTAATATGTACCGTTAGCTAACGAAAAAAAAAGTAGAAAAAGAAATTTTTTGAAAAACTTAAATTACTCGATTTTTTCCCTAGATTTTTACTTTATTTTATCATTTCATCAGCTTTTTTTCGCCAACAGACGGGTCGATTAGGCAAAGGATTAAAATCTTCAGAAATTAGTTTATATAAGAATGATGCCAAAGGATGGCAACCACGTATATCGCACGTACTCAGTAAGTCTTAGCGGAGCAGTGGATCGAACCCGGGTCTTTCGTACTGGAGTCCGATTCTCTAACCACTGGGTTACCACGGCTCTCATTAGTAGTTATGAATATATGTATAGCTAAACCAGCTCTGTTTTCACTGAACAATATTTTTACTTTTGTTTAATTTAAAGAAATTGAGAAACTACATGAAAATTTTTTCATGAACCTGAGCTTTGGCTGAGTCCGTCTCATCTTTAGCATACAGTAGGGGTGACAGGCGTCCACACCCTAAGTGTTACGGGGACTTGCCCCTTGTTCCCTTCAACTAGCAACAAAAATACACACAAAATAAAAAAAAATTTTAAAATTTAAATAACAATAATTTTTTGGAAATTTTTAAGCACAATAAAAATCTAATTTTCTTATTACTATCTCCTAGCTATCTTATTGTTCGTAATATTTTGTCAAACAACTTTTTAGCAAACAAAATTTCCTGGACTAGCAAAATAAAATTTATTTCATAGCAATATATTTTTTTATGAACTGGAGTGGCGTTATACATTCGTTTCGTAGAGTGAGTATTAGAATAGTGGAGCAGTTCTATTATAAACTGTAATTTAAACTTTAAAAAAAAAAAAAAAAAAAAAATATGTCGCAGACATTGTTATTTTAGCAGCTTCCGTAAGAGCTCAACAAATATTTTAATCGACGGTGAAATTATGCGTTTCAATCAAGTAGTCATAAATGTGTTTTTCTTATTATTATAATCATTTTTCTAAACTTGAGATTGCCTAGTTGTAGACATTGAAAATAAAATATAAGTTGCTGTGAAGTATCTAAAAAATAAAAAAAACATGTAATCTAAAAGAAAAAAAATTATGTTCCCGTCTAACTGAACCACTGGTTATCTATGAGCTTTTATTGTTTGTTATTTTGCAATTGTGTTGTGAATCGAAAATATGATTTATTTGGTTGAAAAATATACCCAACTAAATAAAAAATTTTAAAAATAAATCTCCCTACCTAATATTGAATGTTAAGAAAACAATTTTCCAGCTGAAAAACTACAAAAATCATTTAAAACGTTGAAAAAGTATACTGCACTAAATTCAATATGGTGACGTTCCCTTGTTGATTTTTCTTCCCGTTTAATAATAATTTTTATTTATTTATTTTTTTTTAATATTCTTAATAACTTTAAAAAAAAATAGAATAGAAACTTTTAGAACATACAAACAGCATGTCAAATGTTAGATACACTAATTGTTATGATTGTGTTGAAATTGAATTTTCAAAATATTATAAAATACGTATTTTTAATAACAGTACAACGTTATTTAGAAATAAGTAACAAGCCAAAAGATAATCACCGGCTCGAAAGAATCATCATCAAAAAGTAATCTCCGTGAAATCAAGAACGCCAATCTTATCATCAATGAAACATTTTTAATATCGCAATTTCGTCTCAGTTTTCAGATCAAAATACAATAAATGGAACACGTTTCAAACAGGGTCATTAAAAATTATTTTTTTATTGGAAGCAACGTGAAGTCAAAAATCACGAAAATTTAAATAGCAGGGGAAAAATTTCTTTACTTTTTCCCCCTTTTCTCCAATAAAAAAAAAAGATCGTTTGCAATAAATTGAAGAAGGTAAAAAAAAAATATTGATAAATAAAAAAAAAAATAACTCGTAAAATACGTCATTAACATAAGCAAGAACAAGTAAATTAGACGCGGTGGAAAATAAAAATGGCAAACATTAAAGATGGCAAACGTCCAAACGGCAATTTACTGGATAGAAATGGAATAAAAAGATGAAAAAGAGTTTTCGAAAAAAGTTCAATGCGAGATTATTTTTATTTTTTCTCTCGAAGAATTGTAAATATTATTCATCATGCCTCTGCTCGCTTTGGATGATTGCCAGATTAAAGAAGAAAAAAAAACTATATATATATTTATAGTATTAGGTACTTGAAAAATTGAGAGGAATGACAAAAAATGAGAAATTTCGAAAGGAGAATAAAACTATTTTATTTATTTCTGTTTGGAATAACTTTTCCGATAAGAAATAATATTGAAGTGCTTTAGGAAAAATATTGACAAATGGTGCCATCTATTGAGTAAGTGAGGACATATATAATATTTTTATGCGAAATTGTTTATGTTATGTAAGTGCAATAACTTGTAATGTAATTTGCTATGCAAATGTAAAAAAGTACTTTTTGATCATATTATATTTTTTGTTTTTGATTTCAGAAAGCTATGAATAAATTTTTTAAAAGATTAAAAAAGAATTATGGAATCATATAAAAGGAACATTTTAAAATAATTTCGAAAAGACTAAGTAGATTTTTTTTAAAGGGCATTGAACTAATTATTGCCCACCTCATCTGTGAATTAGTCTTGAACTCGTAAGTAACCTAAGCATTTTTATAGTAATTACTAAAAGTAATTTTCTGAGATTTCACCAACACAAGTATAATCAAATTTACTGCTACGAAATGTTCTTAAAGTTGTTGTAATGATATAAGAAAAGCTAATAATGCTACCATAAGATACTATTTTAAAGTGCGAAAATGTTGAATTTTCAAATAAAAAATATTTTTTAATTATTCATTGTTGTTAATTCCATTAAACAATTGTTAGAAACCAATTATTAATGCTACGAAGCATTGTTTTATATATACTATATGTATTTAATTAAGTTGTGTTGTAAATAATTAATATTGCCGCAAGACTTTCAATTATGTAATTCACAAGTTCTTATAATTATTAAAAAAATTAATAAACACAATTAATTATTATGAAAAATGTATTTTTTCATGAAATCATATTTGCTTAACAAATTTTAAATTAAGTGAGGTTGCAAAAATGACTCAGAAAATGTAAATTTCAAAATTATATTTAATTCTTTTTTAAGTCAGTTCTTTTAATTTTATTACTTTATTTATTTATTTTTAAATTTGATATGGATTCCGACGAAACCAGACTTTTCTAGAGAATCCAAGAAATTAGGAAAACAGACAAGTTAAAAAAAATTCATCTTGACTTTTTAAATGTAACGGATTGTATTTCCTATTATTTTAATTCTTAAGATATTGTGTTTTTATTTTATGTTAAATAACCAATCCATACGTTTTATTTTTTTTAGTTATTAAGTTATGTAATTTTAGAATTTAGTTTGTAATGTTTGTAATTTTACATTTTAGAAGACAAGAAAACTCATGGTTGAAACTTTGGATATTAGAATATTTTTCGTAAACAAAAGCATAGTTTCGACACTACATACAGATACTGATACTTTCAATACTACATACAGATACGAATCATAATGAATATTGACAATGAGCCGTTCACGTGATGTGTGACGTAAATGTCTTTTCAATTGCTTAATTTTATGTAATTCTTCCTAATTTTCTGCTCACTTTTTTATTACAGTTTTAATAATTCGCTTTCACTTGTGAGGAATTTGAATTTTTTAATAAAAGTTTCAACCACTTTCCAACCTGCTAACTAGATCTAGGTTCTGAATGAGAATACAGGTTTCTATCGTTTCAGACCGCTATAAGAAGAATTTATTGTGATATTATATTATTGCTGAACGGAATCTATCGTCATTAAGTTTCGTCCTCATTCCTACTTTTTAGGGTGCTTAAATCTGAAGCGGAGCTCTGTGTTTGATTAAAATACAAGTTTCAATTGTTCCTTAACGTTATGAGCAGAATTTATCGCTAACAGAATTATGCCCACTTTCCAACTACTTAAAATGCTCAAATCTCAACTGGACCTTTTTGCAGGCAGGCAATACAGGGTGCCATCGCTTCCTGGCAGAAACAAATGAAGTTAGCACAATTTAAATTTTATTCCGTAGAATTTATTTCCAAATAGAATTTAGGAATGATTAAAATTTAGACCACTTTGCAACTGAGCAACTGTAGCTCCGTGCTTAGAACAAGTTACAATTTTTTTTCTTTTTTTGAATGTTGTAAGCATTATTTATCTCGATTTTATCACCAAATGATATCCTAACTTCTTTCCTACATTTAAAAAAAAAAAAAAAGAAAAGAAAAAAAGAAATGTAACTGACAGACTACTAAAAAGAAGAAAATAGTTTTTCTTTATAATTACGTTCTGCATATAGAATAAAAAGGAGCAAATAATTCAAACTTTCACCTCGAACACACAGACACAAAAAAAAAAAAAAAAAAAAAAAACAAAGAGAAAAAGTAAGANAAAAAAAAAAAAAAAAAAAAAAAAAAAAGGAGCAGCAATTTTGAGGTCTATCACTAAGGCAATTTCCCCACTCCTTATTCGTCTTCGAAAATGTTTACATCTTTAAGTTTTTCGTTTTAGTTGTGTCAAAAATTTGACTTAACTTTCTCCCTTTAAGTTCACTAGTGAAACGTAATTGATCATGTCATTTTTCGCGAAATTGAAATCAATAAAATTGAAATCTTCTATCCAGCATGATAGAATTCCTTTATTCTAATAATAGAAATTTTTATTCTTAGGTTATAAAAAATATAAACATTTGGTAAAGGTGCAGTTCCGATAATTCAAACTTTGTAATTTACTAATCATTTTATTATTTACTACTAGTGAGGGAAATAAAAAAGGTTTGCTTTTGTTCGAAACTCTTACTCTAAATTTCAGATAAGTAAAGTTATCAATTCTTATCTCTAAAAACCCTTATCTAATTCTCACCAGGAGTTATAATCAAGTAATTTTGTTAATTTATTTCGGTCATAGAAATTCTGCTATTTATTAATCTACGCATTAATTAAAATCTTTAAAATCGTACTAACCAATTTATTTTCAAATTATAAATACCTTTCCAAAAACCAATTAAATTTTTTTTCTTGGAATAAACGTCACTTTCCACGTTTTTACTGTATCCAAAGTTCAAACAAAGTGATCAATTTATGTCACTATCACTGTTTGCTATAGTTATTCCTTAAAAATTTTCTTGATTCTAAGCTAATGTCAATGTATGATCACGTGGTCGTTGGTGCTGGAATTGTGGGGTCATGGACAGCTTATCAGCTTGCGTTGCTTGGAAAAAATGTTCTTTTATTGGAACAGGTATGTGATTTATTTACTTTCAGACGATTTATATCTCTTCTTTCTTATAATTACATTTTTTTAGCTGAAGAGAAAATAAGTTATCTCGAGATCTCATTTTGATGTAAGAAAAAATAAATCTTTTAAATAAGGGATTAAAAGAAAGCTAGAAATTAATTAAATTACATGGTGTGCGAATAGTTGTTAGAATTAGTAAATGTTATTTGATTATTTGTTATTTATGCTGGTGAAATTTTAAATAGTTAACGAAAAATTATTGCATTATTACAACATAGGAAAAGTTAATTTATTTTTCTCGTATTTCATTTGTTCTGTTCTATTTTTAGTATTATTTTTGATAAAAATTGCATACTTTGTGAGCATTTTTTCTAAAATGAATGAATAATTAAATTTGTCCCATCAAGGCGTAGCCGGGAAACTTTTCTGGATGGGATTTTGAAACTGATTGTTATACATTTTTCATATGACGATTAAATTATGAATGTTTTTAAATAATAATCTACTTCACAATGTAATTCTTGAATTGCGTCTGTAAATTAATAACTATTAATTTACAGAAAATAAAATATTTCGTATGATGTAATAGCAATACGAAATATTTTATTTAATAAAATGCAGCTTATAAGAAAGAAACTAAAAAAAATTTTTATCATGATTTTTCAGTCAAGTGATTTAAATTACCTTCTTCAGATAACTATACATGTCTGTTTGAAGGCTAAGCACATTAATCTGTCTTCAGTCCAAACAAAGAATTACTCAAAAATAAGTTCGAAAATTTTTTCATTGAAAATAAGTTTTTATTATTGTGTGTTTTCACTGGTTATAAGTGTATCTCAGTTTAAAGATTCTTGCTACAAAGGCAAATTACTTCGATAGCGTTTAACAATTTTTCTTTTGGAAAAAATGAAACTTGTTAAAAAGTTTTTACACCAGTGGTAATCATATAACTCCGTTACTATCTCTGTTGTGCCGGGAGAGCCCAACAGAGAGTCGAATTCTTGGCCATAGATGGCGTCACTGGAAAACAAGAACAATCGCACCCCTCTGCCTAAAAGTCAACAACTATCTCTGTTGTTTCAACCAAATCGATCTAATTTCTGTCTTAGGTTGATATTCACAGTTGAAATGACTGTAGTAAATTTGAATTTTTTGCAAATCTATCATTTTAAAATTCAATGTAAAAAAAAAAAAAGGAAAAGAAAAATTGAGTGTTTTAGTACTGTTCCTATCTGCAGTAATAGTGCTTATCAATGTTGCCCGATAGGTAGAATGTGATCTGGCGATTTCAGTTTTAAATTTATTTCAAATTTTTCCAATTTTGATGAACAGTTCTTAGTATTTTTCATCCACTTCTCTCATATTTTGTTTGGAAATTTCGGCATTCGTGGCAGATTGCACAAAAATAAAATCAAGATCTATAGTTTACATTTGTTATGGAAAATTTGTTAAGGAACAAAATGATCAAAGGCGTAGTATAGAAAATAAACAGAATTAATTAAAAAAGAGGCACTTGTTAACTGAAGGGACAGTGAGAATTATTTGGTGAGTCTAATAATGCATCGAAATAATTTAAATTCAAGATTTTTCAAATCCATCTGATAGGTTTCAAAACATGTACCAATGCTTTTACTGAATCGTGTTTTCAATCAATCTGACTTAATTGTTTCAATTCATTCTTTTTTACCAACCTTTTAATTTTCTGTTTCTTTCATTAAAATCATTCGTACTTTCGAATAATTAAAAAAAATTTTTTTTTTAAATTATCACTTTGCACTTTCTAGTTAGTAATAGCTGCCTTCTTTTGATAAATTAAGATAGGAGCAATAGAAATAACATTTGAAATTCATTTATTTAATTTTTATTTACAGAAAAATTGCAAGAATGCTGCTTTTTTTAAGCACTGTGTTAAAGTTTGCATTGTTCCAAGGAATTATTTCTGTGTTTCCACGGAAAAGTTCAATATTTCTTACGGTCGATTGGCAACGCATTCAATTCTGGACGATCATTTCTTCCGGGTATAGAGTGGTTTTAAAACCCAATCTCTCTCTTGGGTATGCCACTGTGTGTCAACATTTTCATTGTAAATGATAAATATAAAGCCATGCTAAAATTGTTTAAGTCTTAGCTTCAATGTTTGCTGATACATTTTACGGTTTTCTCTGTAGCTTTTTACGAGAAAATTAAATTTGATGACATCATTAAAATGAACACTCAACCATGGTCAAGCACCTAACCCATTTTTAGGGTTCTATCTTATAATGGCTATGGTAGGAATGCGAAAGTAATTTTGAACAACAGTCAGATGTCGTGATCAGCACCTGAGCTGGTATCCCTCCCTCCAATCTTTCACTACTTAACCAACGAAATAACTTTCAACAACGACAGATTTGACAGTTACCTCGTTGTGTATATATGCCGGACTTGATCTTAGATAAGAAACTTGATGTTAGACAGAAACTGTCAGATATAAGACCAAGCTTTGAATTTTTTTTGTTCCAATAGACAGCCACAAACAAATATTCCATTAGGGGCCATCCACAAATGATGTACAGTCCGCAAAAAAAAAAGATATCACCCTGAATAACTTTCGTTCTAATGATCGGATTTTCACGAACTAAAAGTCAATCTTAATGGTTCCCGGGGGTGACCTCAAATATGCTAATTAATTAGTGCTAACTATTAATTAAGTTACCAAATCAGACACAAAAACGTACTTTCTCTGAATAAACAT